GGCATGCATATCGGAAGAAACTTATAAGTCATAAAATATACTATTCGAAGGAATTGATGCACAATAAAGCCTATATTTAGACCCTTCCATCGCAGTATGCTACCATTCTATATGCCCAAGCGACCATTAAAATTACAAAATTTCTAACAAAGTGAGATCCTTCCAGCTGAATGGAATAATAAGTAGTGTAATGGTCATCGGGTTGATGAGCAAATAAATGAAATAAATGCAAAGCGGATCCTCTAATTTGTCGACCATAATATTATAACGCATTTTTGTACCTTTCATTTCGTTATAAAGAGTGAGTAGAAAAGGATTCGTAAAATGGCTAAGATGAAAACCGAAGAAGAGTTGTCTTGGAGTTGTGAAAATAGTTTTTGAGCACCGTGCTGTGACTCCAATGAATATTTTTCTTGGTTATGTCATTGGTGATTATTTTTTTAATGTTGGTTTCTGGCTCCAGTGTTGCCTTTCACGTGATATGCAAAGGTTTCGCATTCATTTAACGGGACAGCAAGAAGGTAAGCCGATGGCTTAATTCCACAAATCTAGTCACAACCATAAAGAAATCCTCTTTCAGTTTCTAGTGATATCAATTTACGCATCTCTCAATCCGCTTTTCACCACATGAACTTATTAGGGGATTTTTCAAAATCCAGGTTGTCTTCATACATAAAATAAGCATGAGTACATCAAGTATTAAAAGCAAAATTTGATTAAAACACTCAGCGACGTTCACTAAGAGGTGCCTAGAAATAATAAACACCAGTACCTGCAATCAAGAAAATAACTTAAATTGATTGTTAAGTGTCTTGATTAACAGCCCTGATAAAGAGAGCAGAATATAAATATAAGGGAGAGGTAACAAGAAAATAAATAAGATAATATGTAACACCAATAATATTGGAATTAAAATCAGGTAATAAACACAAGTACATGCCAGCACTTATCCTCGGTAATCAGTAATCTACTCTACTAATGTGATACTATGTTAGAATTTTGAGGTTGCAGTTTTTAGTATACGAAAACGTCACAACAAAATAAGGGGACAAAATGGATAAATTAAAATATGTTTTACCCAAGTAAAGAAAGGGCAGCATTTGCGAGACACCAACGTTAAGGATATCTTCATCATCAAGACCCCAAACTTTTGCACATCGACTGGCTTTACTACTGTTGTCACCAGAATGGGGAAGAAGATTGTTTGCTAAGCCTGAGGAGTTGCCAGTATGAACTGTGGATGCGGTAGGGACAGCCAAGCCCGATTTGCAGGCTGTCACCAGCTGGCTGCACATTTGAGCCTTGGGTTCAACCGAAGCAGGAGGTAAATCACGATCATATTGGGAACCAGGTTTAGGCAGCTCGTCAAAGTTAGACTGAGGGTCTAAGGCTGCGGCTATGTTCATAGCAGCTTTGAAACAACTGGACGCCGGTATGGCAGGACGC